ATAACATTTTTAGTTGTTAAAAACATCATTTTTATTATGGTAAATCATTTTTATAATGATCATAATCAATTGGTATCAAAAATAGGATTTTAGAGCTCAAAAATAGCATTTTCAAACAAATTTTCGGATCAGAACTTCGGGGGATCGATCCAGCCCTCTGGATCGATCCATACTAGAAGAAAAACTCCCAGAGGATCGATCCAAGCAAGATGATCGATCCAGACAGTGGTTTTTCAGCCACTGTTCATCTTCTTCTTCGTTAATCGTTACGGGTCCAATTTCGGAAATACCATTTTTAGTCACCGAACTTCAACAAAACTATATAGAGATGTTCTCCAAGGTTCATAGATCATTTTGGCATCATTAATTCATAGTTTTGACATCAATTTCATGGTTTATGATTCTTGGTTCTTCAAGCATGTCAAACACAAAACTCAACCAAACGACCGTTTATGAACGTAGAAACGATTTATATGAACATTCTAGTCAGTAGATATATCTACGGGCTTACCTTGAAGCTTATCAAAGGTTTTGAGAATTTTCCGGCGAAACTTCCGGCGATGATTACTCCTAACTCCGGCGACTTCGGCGGCAACCAACAACACCAGACTGCGCTCCTTACTCTTATGAACACAATGGTACGGTATATATTTCCAGAAAATTGGTGAAGAATTGGTAAGGATTGGATATCCTTATATAGGAGAAGAGAAGGGGAAGAAGACATTGGTAGCTGACTCATTTCTACGTAGAAATTCCTTAGTGCGTAGGACGGCGATTCTAATTGATCTACATGCCGTTCCCTGATTGGGACCAATTTGGTTCCAGTCGGGGTACACTTTTTGGTCCAACTTTCTCCGAATTGAATTCCGTTTGCACCGTTACGATCAGACAGTTAAACTCTATCTAATGATATAATTTTTATATTTATCTGTAACACTTTTTCCGACATCATATTTTTGGGTGTTTGACTTTGATAAAGTCAAAATTGATTTAATTGACTTTTACCATAAAAGGTTCTCACATCTAATTCATATCATTTATTCTCATGATTTATTTCAATAAATCATTTTACATCATAATTAATTTCTTCATTTATTCTTGATTTGGGTCTGTACTCAGGTTCTCAATCAAGACCACACAAATAATCAACATATAGGATTTATCTTTATGAGATTTATCCTGACTATGATATTGGATATCAAGACATATTTCGTATCGGCCCAAAGCCCAACAACAATTTATTTTAAACAAAACAAATTTGTTTAATCGAATAATTATTTATTAATAACTCTAGGGTATGTTTTGGGGCGTTACACCTGATGTGATGGATAAAAGTAAGATGTGATAGTTTGGTTATTACTTATTAGTGAAAAAATATGATGTGATAGGTAGGGTATGAAAACATAGGAGTAAAAGTGGTTTTTTAATAGAAAGTGGAAGTGTTTTAGTGAATTGGAAAAAAAACAAAAGGGGAAGTGTTTTATGGTACGGAGGGAGTACAAGCTAGATGAAATTTGTGAATAGTGTTCCCGCCTAAATGTAAGAGCTATCTACTACGATTTGGGCATGGGGAATTGTGCCTGAATAATGGGTAGTGTTCTGTTATGGATCTGGGTGCATAATAATTACTCCCTCCGTCCCACAAAAAAGTTCTCATTTTGATGTATTTTTATAATATTTTTTTGTTATTCAATTATGAGAAATAAAGAAAAAAATTGATTTAAAAAAAATAATAGAGGAACGAAGTTGAGAAATTAAGAAAAAAAATTGATTAAAAAAAATAATAGTGGGACGGAGTTGGCTACTTTGTTTCCTTAATTAATTATTCAGAACGAATTTGGCTACTCCGTTTCATTAAATAATAAATCCTAGTTTATGTTTCGAATAATTAATTAAGGAAATGGAGTAGCCAACTCCGTCCCACTATTTTTTTAAATCAATTTTTTTTTCTTAATTTCTCAACTTCGTTCCGCTATTATTATTTTTAAATCAATTTTTTTCTTTATTTCTCATAATTGAATAACAAAAACTATATTATAAAAACCAGCAAATTAATTACATTTAATGAAACAAACAATCTACTAATAATAAAATTAAAAAATAAAATAATTATTTATTGACTTTAAATAATGCACCATACTCCAAAATTAAAATAAGAAGTAAATCACAACAAATTTATTGATAGAGTACATATAATTTATTCATTTATAAAAATAAGGTTACAAAACACATGTCTTAACTAATTTATTTTGTGAAGTTCAGAAAACATAAATTTAGACATAATTGAAAGGGTAATTTACCTAAATAGGACTAAAACATAATGACTTTCTCAATATAGGACCATATGTTTTTATTTCCCAATGTAGGTTCATTGGTCATTATTCAACTAAATGTCCAGTATCACTTGGACATTATTCTTCTCACTAGTCATTATTAAGTCATATTTAGGGAATAAAAAAGTTTAAGTCCTAAATTGGGAAATTACTTATGTTTTAGTCCTATTCAGTTCAAATTTGAAATCCATGATATACCTATTGTTCATTGTGACTTCGTCGTGTCGTGGTCGATAGTTCATGTTATTCGGATAGCGAGTTCTTGTAGGTCAATCGGTTTGTGTCCTTGCTCGTGCAGTTGGTGTCTCTGTCTCGTATCCTGGAGTAGGCCATCCGGCCTCATCGGGAAGCGGCATTATGATATCCGAATAAGCGTTGATGTAGGATTGGATTGAAAAATATTTGGAATCAAATGATCCATGGTGACACTACACTAATAGGGTGCATATCGAATAACGGCTAATTCTCATCAGATGGGGTGTATGTGCACTCTTTACAAACCAGAGGTATATTATAAGTTACTTTTAAAACCACGAGAGGTGTTGGAGCTCCTTTCTGAAACCATAGGGGGAGGTGGTGCATTTTCCCCTTAAATAAATAGATTCAAAAAATCAAATGAGTTAAGAGGAAAAAGTTGATGTGTGACTTCATGTATACTTTATGTCAAATCAAATCAAATAAATAGATTCACAAAATCCAAACATTTAATGTGTAGGTCGATTGTCCAATTATATATACTACTTTTACCCCAAAATATTTTATAACAATCTCATCCCCAAAAATTTGTCCTTTAGAAAAAATTATCAAAAAATTCAAAGAGTATATGGAATGCCTTTGCCGTGATTGACAATAGTCGCACCACTTGGATGCTTATGTTATGAGCCGTTGTGTCTATTTTGCTCCGACTTGGTCAAAAGGAGGAGATTCAATGGAAGTGATCTTTCATGATGAACATGTATGGAATTCCGTAATGTTGGATTATCTACTTTGTCTGAAGGGCACGAGGATTCACACTCATCTCGATAAACCTGAAAAAAGACGTTTTGAAACTCAAATTGTAGAACATGGTGTTTTCAGAAGGGAGAAAGATCAAAGTAGGACTAAAACATTGAAAATATACCAAAATAGGACTTCCATGTTTTTATTTCTGAAATAGGATTTACATTACCATACATGGTCAAATACATTACCAAAAAAGTATAGTAATTTGCACATGTACATTGCCACATTACAATAGGGCAAAGTCACATTACCATAATGCAAAATTCTATTTCGAAAAAAAAACATAAAAGTCATATTTTGGTACTTCTCTCTATGTTTTAGTCCTATTTAGGTGATTTCTATTTTCAGAATTTGAAATATCTTTGTTCATGATAACTACCTCTAATAATTTTGTTTTTGGATTAACTTTCTCCCTTTTAAACAAATCTTTGTAATCAACTCTTTTATTAGTCAAAGTTTAGGATTCAATTCTATGAAATAATATGCTTCCCTAATGTACTCCGTATTACTTATATTTATCTTCTCTTTTTATTTAGATGTATTTCTTTTTTAAAAAATTGTTTTCTTGGATGAAATTGTTTATAATATAATTTTTTTAAACATCCTGTCCGTGCATAGCACGAGTATGAATCTAGTTTAAATGAATAAAAAAACAGAATGACATGCCATTTTTACGTATTCTTTTCTGTAACTTTGCTCTTACTCCGGGTTTCTAAAAAATATACTCTCTCTGTTCCCATTTAAATCGTCTATTTCGGTTTATGATGTGTGATTAAAGTTATTTTCAAATCATTTTATATAAAAAACTGTGTATGATTAAAAAATAAAAATTACATATTAAAAAAAGTACTTCCTCCGTCCCACTGTCTTTGTCCACTTACCTTTTGGCACACCATCCAATACACTTCTTTAATCCATTTTATCTTGTAATTTGTATATTAAAAAATTATAGAAATTATATATTAATAATCTATATGTTAAGACAAATCAAACAAGATCACACATAACTATATTTAGGCTTACACATTGAGAGAATTTGATGAGTCAAAGTGCTTAGATGAACAGTTTCAAAAGTCAAAAGTGGACAAAGACAGTGGGACGGAGGTAGTACATTAAAAAAATTTACAAAACTAATGATGACATGACTATATTATTTTATCAAATGAATAACGAAAATGAAAAAAGAAAATGAATAAAGTTTGACCCTGTGAATAATAAACAGACAATTTAGAGTAAATTCTAGAAATAATCCTTTATAAGTGGGGGTTTTCTATATGTAGTCCTCAATTATCAAGTATTATTTTCACAGTCCTTATTTATTGGGGGGCTATTCTATTTTTAGTCCTCTGTCTATAATTCCGTTTCAGTGCTGTTAAATGGAGGGCTACTTAAGAAAATTCGTCTCATTCTTCTTCAAGCCTCTGCTTATAAACATCAGAAGTGTCGTTTTCATCTATTTATTATGCAGCAGCAGTGGATGATGACCTAGGGCAAGACGAAAACCTGGGGTTGTGAATTCGAAAATGTCGATGCGTCTGCCTATGCAAATTTCTTTGTCTATATATTTGAATTCAAACTCTGGAGCTTATTTTTATTCATTTTATTGAAATTGAAGAGGGTTATATCAAAGTGGGCAGTGTAGTTGATTATTTTTTTTTGTTCAAGAGGATAATTAAAAATTTATTCTTTGATTTCTTTGCAACCCTGGCTCTTTTTGTGAGATTTACTCCGTTGGATTTATAGTTATGGCGGTCATTCATCGTTGGCCTCATACAGTCAAACAACCCATTAGGGGCAAGTTTCACAAAAGTATAAAATCAGTGCACCTACTCTAGTTACGGATTCACAAGCTTAAACACTTCAATTGAAATGTTCCTACAAAAGAACACAGTAACAATCCAAACAAAACAAGAAACTTTGAATCCCAATTCTTTTTTTTTTTAGTTCAAAAACAAAATTGAGAGTTCAAAAACCTGTTTGTATTTGAGAGTTCAGAATTCAAAACAAAATTGAGAGTTCAAATTTCATATTACTAAGAATAGCATATGAGGGGAACCTGTACACTAAGTTCGAAGTACAAATTTCTGCTAAAACTGAGAGTGAGAAGTGTAAAGATCTGAATTTAAACAAAAAAAATGACCGATTTTGGGAATCGACGGTATGAGATTGAAACTACTTCCAAACGCATGAGATATTTGAGAAGAAATAACTCAGAGATTCTAGGAAAAAAAAAAAATTATAGTTCAAAATACGTACATTTACCTTCAAATATTGACATGTTTGCGTACGTTTTAGGAGATTGTAAAGCCTAGCTGATGTGTGCCTCATCTTGGAAGCGAGTAGACGAAGAGGGAGATGAACTTTGTGAGGAAAGAGGCGTTTGAGAGAACAATGTGAAATTACATTATTATCTTTCATTTAACAGCACTGAAACGGAATTTTGGACAGAGTACCCAAAATGGAATGGTACCTAATTAATAAGGACGGTAAAAATAATATTTGATAAATGAGGACTATATATGAAAACTACTTAATTATAAATGATCATTTAAAGAATTTACTCGACAATTTAATTTGGAACGGAACAAGTACAAACGTACAATTAAATTTGAACGGCCAGAGTATTTGATACTCAACAATTGCTTTTTTTACATACATTTAAACAAAGGTAATTTACCTAAATAGAACTAAAACATAATAACTTTTCTCACTATAGAACCATATATTTTTATTTTCCTAATGTAAGACCATTGATCGTTATTCATTAGTTATTATTCAAGTAAATATCTACCATCACTAGACATTATTCCTCCCACTAGACATTATTAAGTACTATTTAGGGAATAAAAAAGTTAAAGTCCTACATTAGAAAATGACTTATGTTTTAGTCCTATTTAGTTCAAATTTCACTTTAAACAAAACTTATAGAGGCAGAGGAAAAAGGAAGTGCTTCTAATACCCAAGAAGTAAAAACTCATGTTTTTTTAGCATGTGTTTCATGAGCACAAAAAGAATAAATGGTCAGCATAAAAAGAATTGGTTCTCCAAAAACTGGAATGGAATGAAAGCCCCCAACTAAGAAAAAAAATCTTACTCTCTTACCCACTCTTTCTCCCACCATCACAAAATCTAATGTTCCCCCCACAAAGACAAACCAACATTAGTTTTGAGTCTACTAAATACTATGGAGTATCTAAACTAAATACTTGTATGTCATTACTCACTAGTGTTTTATTCTTGTATATAACCCTACCACATAAAGCTTAACTTTAATGCCGATACCAAACGGGAGCGCTTTCAAGTTTCAACTAGAGAAAAAAAGAGAGGGGG